TTCCCATTTTTTATATATATCCCTTTAGATTCTGACCTCATCAGAGAACTTATTATGTAGCCCCACTGTAGTTCTTTCAGATATACGGTGATATAGTGGATAGAGAGGGCTGGACTTGGAAGCAAAAAGCCCTCAGTTTGAATCCTAATTGGGAAATTTATTAGCTGTATGATTCTGGGCAAGTTACTTAACCTCTGCGGGCCCTAGTTTTGTCATTTATAAAATGAAAGATTTCTAAGATCCCTTCCAGTTCTAAATCTATGATTTTTATGGCCTTTCCTTTTTTATTCACTGGATTCATTTATGATTATGTTGAAAGAATTGGGGTGCTTTTATTTTTGAGTCTACTATCCCTCTTGGTGTGTGTGTGTGTGTGTGTGTGTGGCCATGGGATCATACCTATCTTTTGTCTTTTGTCTGGCACTTAAGTGCTTAAGAAATGTGTTGATTTGGCATGTGGTAGCATTAATAAATGCTTGTTGATTGATTGTCTGAGGCCACAAAGCCAGTCATTGGCAGATCTGGAGCCAGAGCCCAGTCCAGAGTTCCTAGCCCAGTGCCCCTTTCACTAGAACAACAGCAGGCTTTGTGCTAGAACTACTTGGATAACCTTGTTAATGTTATAATGACTTGGTAGGGGAAGAGAAGGGGGAACAAAGGGCTGTTACTTATGGGCAACATTTTCATTTTAACTGAATACTGTCTTCTCACAAGGGAGTCAACTGGGAATTTTGTCTCGGCAGGGAAGATTTTTTTGGATAAAGGAGGCCTTTCCCTGCACCCCTTAAATCATGACACAAAACAACTTATGCTTATCTATGAGCCAAACATGGTTCTTAATTTAATCTTTCCTCGACTTCCATTCTTCATAATGCCATATGGAGAAGAGGTCCTCAACAAATGTTCAACTGGATTTGTTAAGTATTCTTGTCCACTATGCTCTTTTGCCCCTTTTCTCCCATTTTCTAGGCAAAAGGTCTGTATTGCTTTCTTTTACTGTCAACTCTTATGACTTGCTGTTGCTTATTCAATGAACCTCAAGGATTCAAACTGAGGGCTTTTTGCTTCCAAGTCCAGCCCTCTATCCACTATATCACCGTATATCTGAAAGAACTACAGTGGGGCTACATAATAAGTTCTCTGATGAGGTCAGAATCTAAAGGGATATATATAAAAAATGGGAAGACAGCCCATTACCAAGGACAACCATGAAGGAGTAACAAAAATCTCTAAGACTACTATCAGGAAGGCTAAAAAGACCAAAATGAGCAGCTGAGAATGTTAAGAACTTTTTATGTTATGTTCGGAGCAATGTCATGCTTAGGACAATAAGAACATAGAAGTAATAATGAGAATGAAAATGGAGAGGGAGTATATAATGGCATTAAATGAGTTTAAGTCTCTAATCCTGATAGTGTATCCCAGAGTACTTTAAAAAAAAAAACAACAACCCTTATATGCAATGACAGAATAACTGTTCTCAACCATTGAAAAAGGAGATGTGTCCTTCAAATTGAAATAAGCAAATATTGTCCTATTCGTTCAGGGAGATGAAAGAAGTGGATTCTAGAAACTACATTTAATGGTCTTGATTCCTTTGGGAAAGTCCTACAATAGATTATTAAGTGTATGGTTTCTGAGTATTTAGAATGAATCAATTATTTAATCAACGAGCAGTTATTAAACACCTATGTGTTTAATACTATGTGCCAGACAGTGTGCCAAGTGTTGGGCATACAACTTATAAAAACAAAGACAGCCTCTGTTCTCAGGGATCTTACAGTCTAAAGGGTGAGACAACACACAAAAGGAGGCGGGAAAGGGATTAGGATGACTAGGGGCATCCATGGAGTTGAAGCCAGGCAGGACAACAGATGCAGAGTAGAGTGAGTTGAGTCGAGTTTCTGTCCTCTATAAAGGTAGGCATTGGAAGGAATTTAGTACTTCTACCCTGCTCCCCACCCCTTACAGCCCTCCAATCAGAGGAGAGAGGAGGCTGAGGGAGGTGGTATCAATCAGGGCTTAAGTTAGCAGTTTGGTAGTGAGTTTAGAAGTGATGAGCTTATCCTGGGAGGGGCATCTTATTTCCCAGAGATGAAATCAGGCAGGACAGCAGATACAAAGTAGAGTAACAGCATCAAATGCAGTAGACAGGTTGAAGATGAGGAATGAAAACCATTAGTTTTATCAGTTAAGAGAATATAGCTAATGCTAGAGAAAGCAGTTGCAGCTGAGTGATAAGGTCAGAAACCAGATTGCAAATTGTGAAGAGAGAGGGGAAGGGAAGTGGAGTCAGTGAGTGTAGACACATTTTTCTAGGAGTTTGACTTTAAAAAAAAAGTAGAGAGATAAAAAACAATAGCTTGAGGAGATAGTAGGGTGTAATAAAATTTTCTTTGTTTTGTGTTGTTTTTAGTGGATCGAGGAGACTAGGACATGTTTGAGAGCGTTAGAGAAGGCTCCAATAGAGAGAAACAGGTTGAAGATTCGAGGAGTAAGAGGATGGTTTACAGAGAAAAAAAAAAACTAAGACTAATAAGTAGGTGTGACAGGCAGACAGATTTCACTCCAACTTAGAAAACTTTCGAACAAATAGAGTGGACTTCCGTGTGAAGTAATAAACTTCCCATTACATGAAAAAATTCAAGCAGCAACACATCAGGAATGTAAAAGATGAGATTTTTGCATTGGATTAAAATTCAGGATAAATGGTCTCTAAGGTTCCTCACGAAAGGTTCTCTGATTCTGTGTTTAAGTCAAATAACTGTGAAACTTTCATCAAGTTGGATAATTAATGTTCTTTCTAACTCACAAAGTCACAAAATCTTGGCTGCTGGCAAAGTCTGTTAAAAAAATGAATTTAGGGAAACCAGTTAACAGTTAAAGAAGTGGTAAGTGATCAGAGGAGAAGTACATATGTTCCTCCAGCCTCAGTTTCATAAAAGGCACCTAATTAGCCATGGCTTTTGAAATTCTAGTGAAATGAAATCTTAAGTACAAGTTGCTTTTTGTTATCATATTTTACCCAGCATTCTTTACTGTCAAATCACAAATAAACAGAAATGATACAGGCATTACAGATTTACTGCATACATAGAAGCATTTACGCATTTATAGAATAAGAATTTATACATCCCTCCTTATATCATAGCACTGGATATCAAATACTCTAGGATTCATGGTTGAATGTCTCCAGCTACTTTTCCTGCCCGTGTACACATATCCCTATGATAACAATATGAACATATAGGAAGGGCTCAGATCACAGAACATTGAAGCTGGAATGGATTTACATATGAAGAAACTGAAATCCAAGGTCTAGTGTTTTGCTTAAAGTCAAAGACCTAGTTAGTTCTCATTTCTCACCAACCCACACTACTTTGGGACTTTCTGACTGACTTCTCCACTGAGCCCCAGGAAGCTCATTGTTGGGATAACCTCATCATTGTAGCTCTCATCAGCCACCTCACAAGCAGCCCAACTGATGCAGATAAATCCATAGCTCCTGATTACCTCCAGTAGTTATCCAACAGATGCAGGATAACATCTAAGTTATAATCGCCAACAACATATAATTATGATAATAATAATAACAATAACAATAAAAACCATCAGCCTTTATATAGAGCTTTATGGTTTGCAAAGCACTTTAAAAATATTTATTCATTTTATCTGCACAACAACCCTGGGAAGCAGGTGCTATCATTTTATAGACAAGGAAACTGAGTCAGGTAGAGGTTTAGTGACTTGCCTAATGTCAAATAGCTACTAAGTGTCTGAGCCTGGATTTGAACTAAGATATTCCTGACTCTAGATCCAGCACCAATATTTATTTCTGGATAAGCAGGACAAAGTGTTAGCCAGGTGGCTTAGTGCATAGAGCATGAGCCTGGAGTCAGGAAGACCTGAATTCAAATGTGGCCTCTGACATTCACTAGCTGTCTGACCCTGGGAAAGTCCCTTAACTCCTTCCTGCATAATACTGAAGAAGGAAATGGCAAACTGCTCCAGCCTCTTTGCCAAGAAAACCCCATACGGGGTCACAAAGATTTGGACATGACTAAACAACAACAAAGCATGCTGGATTATTTATTCATCTTTCGTGCCTGTGCTTGAAATGCAGTGGCCATTCATAGACTAATACCACATGAATATGGAAGCTTTGACCTGTTCTGTTTCTGACCTAGTCAGGTTCAGCAGTAAGGCAGCCTAGTTGACTTCTGTGCCCCAACATCCATCATAGTGCTGGACCTAGACTAGTGTAGACAAGGGTGTGGACAAAGGATCAGCTTAATCCCTATACTGAAGCTCAGACCTCCTGAGCTCATGTTCCACCAACTTCAGATTCCCTGGTAGCAGGGATAACAGGTACATACCACCATGCCTGGCCACATGCTGAATTTCTTACAGACTTTTTGAGAGTCACATTTTCATGTATAGTCCTAATATTCTGTCGAATTTTGTCTATTTTTGGTGTTTATTAAGTTCAGACTTTTATTTGGTGTTCATTAAGTTAAGAATTTTAAAAAGTTTTTAAAAGAATATACGTATTTCTGAGATCATTATCTGATCATTTTAATTCCTTTTTTTTTTAAAGATAAAAATGTAGCTTTTCTGTGACTGTGTGTTGATATTTCCCCTTTGATATGGGAGCTTAGCCAGTTTGTCTTTTAGCCTACAGCTGGACCAGATTGTTCTACAAAGTGACAGACACAGCAGGCTAAGCTTCCCATTTTTTATTTCATGAACGTGATCTACAATACAATTTCCAAAGTTGAATAGATATGCCCGATTCCCAGGAGGCATAGATAGCCCTGCCTGAAACCAGGTGATATAGAGCAGACCATTTCAAAACTTGTGATTGCAAATATGTTCTAAGATTGGGAGGGAGGAAGGGAAGGACTAATAAAAGTGTGTATTTTATAGTCCCAATACTTGTGAACATTATAAAATTTCCCTCTAAGTGTAAGTCACAGCATACACATACTTCTTTTCAACAGGAGCCCAAGATTTGGATCGTATCCGCTTATCTACTTACAGAACAGCATGCAAGCTTAGATTTGTTCAGAAGAAATGCAATTGTAAGTCTCTCATTTGTTAAAACAATTACTATCTTGTAATTTTTATTTGTTACCAAGTTGAATCATAATGAGAGGTTATTTCATATGTTGTGTATATTTAGAATACAAGAAAGAGAAAATTTGGTGTCTGTGACTACTGGGGTATATAGAAATAATTGGTCCCAATTGAATAATTACTCTGAGATAAAATATTAGGCCATGCACATATATACATATACATATACATATATATGTGTATATATATACACATATATGTGTGTGTATATATCTATATATCTATATCTATCTATCTCTATATATATTATATATATATATAATATATATGTTCTTGGAATAGTTTAAAATAATTTTTTCCCTTCCATTCCAAATTACTCCAGTGATCCATCAGTTCTGAAATTTGAATGAATGTCTCCAACAACTCCTTTCCCCACCCCGCCAAGGGAGAAGTACCCTATGGGTTGCTGGTTGCTGATTCTACTTGTATTTTTTCAGGATAATATAACATATATATTGGTGACTAAGTAACCCATGCAGATAAATAAATGTTTAATGCACATTTCCTAAATTGAGTGATAGCAAATGTTCTTTTTCTTACTTATGTCAAAGCACAAGGATATGGTTCCCATAATAGACTTGCTCTCCCATAGAATAAGTCAAATCAACCAACATTTATTAAGCACTTATTATGTCAGACACACTCTGCTAAATACTGGGGATACAAGGAAAGGCAAAAACAATCCCTTCTTTCAAGAGGCTCACATTCTAATAAATAAACTAGGTACGTAGAAAATTTATACAGTGTCGATGGTTGGTGATATCAGAGCAGAAGATGCCAACAGCTAGGGAGAGATCAAGAAGGGCCTCCTGCAGAAGCTGAGATTTTAGCTGAGATTTGAAGGAAAGAGACTCGTGTATATCACTTAACTATATATAATAAAAATATATACTATATATGTTCTAACTAAAAACTGAACCAGGTAATTATCTAGGGAATAACAAAGGGAATATCCATAGTTGTGATTCAGTTTTCATATATAAAATTAAATGTGGGTGGAAAAAAAGCATTTACTAAGCACCTACTATGTGCCAGGTACTGTGCTAAGTACTTTTCCAAATATTATCTCATTTGATCCTCACAACAACCTTGGGAGGTTGGTGCTATTATCATCCCCATTTTACAGTTGAGGATACTGAAGCAGATAAATGACTTGCCAAGGGTCACTTGGCTAATTAAGTTCCTGAGGTCAAATATGAACTCAAGTCCTCCTGACTCCAAGCTCAGCATTATGTAATAATAATAATAATAGCTAACATTTATATAGTGTTTAATATGTGCCAACACTGTGCTAAGCAGTTAACAATTATTATTTCATTTGATCCTCACAACAACCCTGTGAGGTAGGTGTCCTTGTTATCCCCGTTTTATGGTGGAGGAAACTGAGGCAAACAGTCACATAGCTAGTAAGTATCTAAGATTGGATTTGAAGTCAGATCTTTCTTTCTCCAGACCTGGGACGCTATCCTCTTGTCCCACCTAGCTGACACTGAACTACCTAGAGTGGTTGTGTAAATACATTCCTTCTACTTGATTAGCAGAATTCCCAAATACAATTTCTGTACTAAGGTCACTAAACTTTATCTCCTTGGCTTAACATTTTTTATAATAAAACTTGTAAAATCCAAAGGTATTTGGAAAAATGCTAACACAGCTTTATTTATTGGTGACCTTAATCAAAGCAGAAGGTTTTAACTTAACCAAATAATTAGGCATCCTTTTAGACAGGAAAACAGAGAAAGAATTCATGAATTTAACTGTTCTTTGCTTAGCATTAGTCAGCATGACATGTAAATCACTGGGGAGAGAGGAGGTGGCATTGGGGAGATATGGTATGATCTGCAATAAAAGTGAACATGCAAAATAGGATAATAATAATAAAATGCAGTTGGGAGGGAGGTTAGGGGTCATTTGATCTAAAACCTTTGTTTTGCAGATGAGGGAACTGAGGTTCAAAGAGGTTATATAACTTGTTCAAAGTCAAATAGCTAAGAAGTAGCAGAACTGGGATTTCTAACCAGGTGCTCTTGCCTCCAAATCCAGGCCTTTTTGCACTACACCATAGGGAGGTGCTATTCCTAGACACAAAAGAAAGCCTTTTTTAATTCCGGGTTGATGTGTTTCCACAGACTTGGCCATACTTAAAATTCTTCTTTGGTCACAAAAATCTCTCCTCTTTTCAAAGATACTAACAGAGAGCAGGCATTTTATTCATAGCATTAGACTTATTTTAGAAGAGGAATGTATTTTTATATAAAATAATGAGTTTAACAACACAAAATAGAGGGCAAAACACAGTTGACACAGAAATTTGTAAAAGGTTAAATTTATCATCTAGAATAGAATAAATCTGGTCTACACATAGGAGGAGGTGGGGGAATAGATATTGAGCAATTAGTGTGAGTCTAGCCAAAGTTGGACTCCAGAAGTGTTAGATGGAGAGCATGTTTTTTACTTTTTCCCTTTGCACAACCTTTGCCCAACTACTCCAACTCTGTTTATATTTTATTAGGAAAAAAGAGTAAATTGACCCATGGATAGAAAAAATCCTATTTCTTAATGGTACTAGACTTTGCTTAACTTAAAGCTTTAAACAGGATTTTGTGCCCAATTTAAAAGACATCATCCAAGATGTTTTCAAGATTATCACAGCAGCTTAAGTTTAGAGGAGGTCTTGAGAAATTGTCAAATCATCTCCTCACCCAATTCAGGCTCTGTTATATATCCCAAACATATGGCCTATCTTTTCTCCCACTTTAGAAGATCTAGAGAAAAGGAGATTTTTCACATGCTTGAAAACCTTCCATATGTGCATGTTATCAACAATCCTCATTTATATAGCATTCTTTTTTACCCTACACAACAATGCTATGAGATGTGTTGTTCAAGTGTGATTACCCCCTTGCCCCATTTTACTGATGAAGCAGTTGAGATACAGAGAGGGCTTCAGTCGTCCAAGGTCATAGAGCTAGTAAGTAGTAATACTGACTTGAAGTCAGTCCTCATACTTTAATCCAGTGGATAATCCCATGGCATAAAGTACATTGATTTTGAATTCTCTAATATACTTATTAGATAATCGTGTATATTACATTCATATGTTTTAGGTTAAAAAATTAGACAGAATAAATCTTGTCTCCACCTACATAGCACCTAGGAATTAGTTGAATAGTTAATGTAGCTCAAGCAAAAGCTAGAACTCTTGTAGTTATTTGTGAATGTGTCATATCCTTCTACTGGATTATAAACTCCATGAAGGCAGGCATCATACCTTACCTAAATTTTATATTTCATCTAGTCCCTAGAACAAGCATAGAGAAGAACTGGTTGGGTTTTTTCCACCCGAAAAGAACTGTAACCAAGTAGCTTTCATAAGCCAATCTCTTTTCCAAGTTAAATGACCTCAGTCCCTTTAGCTTTCCTTGTAGGTTTGATGTTTTGAACCATACTTCCCTTTTTCCTTCATTGGATCATAGATTTAAAGTTGGAAGAGACTTCAGAAGCAGTATAGTTCAAATTCATTTTACGGATTAGGTAGGAACTAAAGCCTAAGGAAGTTAAGTGAATTACCCGGGTCACCCAGGTAATAAGTAGCATGGCCAGGATATAAATCCAAGCCTTCTGATTCCAAATAACTTACCACTGTATTATTTTGTTTTCCCTTCTTCTTATTCTTTTTAAGATCTGGAGCCTATTAGAATTTACCATAAGAATTATGAGACTAGTGCTATGTATGTATGTATGTGTGTGTGTGTGTGTGTGTGTTTCTATATATATTTGAACACTGCTTTATGTGCTCTTCTCTTTTCTCCAGCCTTTATGTATGTACTTCACTTTTCTGTCCAGCCTTCATGTATGTGTATAGCTTGGTGGCAAAAGGTTTTACATAGTCAGTAGTTCTGCATACTAATAATGCTACTTTGACCTTTCTTTATTCCATACAAATATCAGAATTTCTAAGAGACCATCGTTCTCATGCAAAACATGGACGTGGTTAATGATGCATGCACCTTAGAGTGTCAGCAGATCTTTTTTTCAAAAATTACTTTGGAGTCAATGAAACAGACCTAAGTTTGTCAGCACAAGAAAAGGCAATGACAGTAATAATTCAGCATCAAGTAATCTGTTCTGGTTAATAGTAGATATAGAAGGTGGAAAAAGATTCCTTCCCTTTCCCAGTCATAGGATGTTTACCAGCGTATTTCAAGAAGCATTTATTAAGCACCCGTAGGCCTTATAGGAAATTCAAAGTTTAGATAAGATGCTATCCCTTGACTTCAAGAAACTTGTAGTTTAAGAGAGTGATATGACATGTATGCTAGTAATAATTATTGCTGATATTGTTCAATAGTTTTTTCAGTCATGTCTCACTCTTGTGACCCATTTTGGGGTTTTCTTGGCAAAGATACTATGGTGGTTCTCCAGCTCATTTTACAAATGAGGAAACTGAGGGAAACAGGGTGAAGTGTCTTGCCCAGGGTCACCCAGCTAGTAAGTGTCTGAGGCCAGATTTGAACTCAGAAAGAGGAACCTTCCTGACTCCAGGCCCAAGGCTGTATCCACTGTACCTCCTATGTGTGAATACCAAAAAGAGGTGCAAACAAACTTCTATGGGAGGACCTAGGAGGGAAACGTCATTACCAACAGGGAAGATGAGGGAAGACTAACTGGAATGAGAATTATCTGAGGTGGGCTTTGAAGGATTCGTAGGAATTCAGTAGGCTGAGGCAGGGAAAGGAGAGAATGATATTCCAAGCTCAGGGAATTCCCCATTTTTACTGAAGATACCTCGATGCTTCTTTTAATTCTAACTCTTAACATCATAGGATCATAGAGCTCCTGCTAGAGGAGGCCTATTATAGATTACACTTATCTGAACAGCTTTTATTTCAGTAACTGATTAATTCAAATGTGGTAAAATAAATTTTTTTTTAAAGAGGGAAAG